TTCTAAAACAGATTTTTTTTTAGAGTATTTCGATACATAAAAATCGAAATTCAGACGAGTAGTATATTAATTACTTATATCATAATTATTTAAAGCTTAAGTGACCAAAATAGTAGGTCAACATTTTTGGAGGTATCCTCATGTCACTCTACTTCGTTTTAAAGTTTAAATATTTATAACTCAAAAACTATTCGTTCTAATTTCGATTTTTTGTGAATTGAAATACCAAGAAAAATATTTCACTTCATAATATGAATTTAAAAATTTAAGTTTTCGTTCAGTTAAAAAACAATATTTAAAAAAAAAAACGTTAATATATTTTGAAATGATGATTCGATAAAATAATCACTCTTTATAATTGTGAAGCGTAATAGATAACGATAATATAGTTTAATACTTATTTTTATATAAATGTTACTTTAACAATTATCATCAATGAACTTGAATTTCTCAAACACTCAGTTAATTAAAAAATAACTTTATAAATAAATTTACCTATATCTTAACGTGTTTCAATTATTATGTGACATCTGTAGATATTAGTCAAACAAAATTAAAGCTGCATTTTTTCCATCATATTTTACAATTTATTTTAGTTAATAAAAAAGGCAAATTTATATAGATAGTTGTGCCTGTCAATAAATAAAATATATGTTCTACTAATATAGTATTAGTATCTTCACTTATTTGTTTATTAAATATTTTAAATTCTAAAATTATTGGTAGGAACCGAGTACATAATATTCCATTCAAAACATATTTGTTTATTATTTAATCTCATTTAATTTCACTACTTTGATGTTTTTTTTTTTTTTTTACTTGTCAACTCTGACGTCTAATGAATCACTTGCATATTGCGCTCTAGGCAGTCGATTACTAATTTTAACGAGTAAATATTGCATACACGCTGCGTAATTTGGGGTTGACCTGGAGATTGGAAGTATAATATTATTGTACAAAGCAGTTCAGGAAGTAACAAAATTAAAACTTACTCGTGGTTTGATTCATAAGTAATTCACTATAAATGTTGATGTTATGAAAACCGTTGTATAAGTATAAAATTGGGCGAAAACTTACTTTTGTAAATACAATCAGAAAATAAATTTATTGTAGCAATAAAACCCAAAATCACCTAATTATTACTTTGCATCATTATATTCCAATGTATTTTTATTAAAATTTTGCATTTTAAATTATTTGAACTAATTTATAATTATATCATGAATACATACGTATAAGAACTATAATATGACTAATAGGTGTTAGTAGATATAGTTAATTATAATTAATTGTATTTTGAATATGAGTGATTTCGTACATATTACCTAATCTAATTAACTGTAATTTAGCATTGCATAACTGCATAAAAGCTAGTATCATAATTAACAAAACTAATCTATTTGTATAAAATATAGTATAATACGTTCACTATTAAAAGATGAATTTGAAATCGCAATCAAATTCTCCAACGTATTTTATAAAACAGAACATTTTTTAATTTAAGATAAAAATAAAATTGTTTATGTAAAGTTTATTTTGTTTATATACGAGTATTATTTTGAGGAATTAGAGTGATTTATTGCACAATATATGTGATTTTCACAATATCTGTGTTAAAGGTAAAAAGAATGATTCACTATTTCCAACAGTGTATAAACATGGTTTACGTATTGGATCTAGGCGTATTTTTCGGAATCTATTTGACTAATTTTAAATTATCCTAACCTTACTGGTATTTTTACAAATTTTTCAAGCATTTTAAATTTCAAACTATGAAAAAAATAACAAAAAAAGTTAAAAATTATGAATATAAATTATAAAATATGTACAATCAATATAAGTTAACCAAAATAGTAACTCTTCTAGTTGAAAAAAAAAAAATAAATAGTTTAATATTCCTTTTTTTTTATATAATAGTTATATTAATTCTCATCTTATTGAAATGTAATGATACATTACTTAATCTTATTTATACATTTTTTAACATTGATGTTTTATTCATGTTGTCATCTTTGAAATTTTGTGATTGAAAGTGTTATTTTTATAGTTTAGTCTCGTGTATGATAAAATATACACGTAAAGTTATTAATTGTTTATCCCGATCATGGAAAGTTTTTCCATTAAATATATTACACCACGATGGAAAAAACAAATAATTCAAAGAAAATATAAATTTAAAAATAAATAAATAGCATGGTAAAGTTCAATTTAATTTGGAAGCGTCTATTTTTCACTACATAACTATATTATGTGCTAAATTAAAAGCACTTTACCTATATAATAATATTATTATATTACGTATTTTATAATACTTATTTGCTTTATCAGTACTGTATTAAGCGTTTTAAAATAACAATTTTCTAAGATAAGTATTTAAGTATACCATGCTTGTTCACTAATAAATGGATTACATTTTCCTTTAATAAAAAAACTTATTAAAATTTATTTTTTAAATCTTTAAGTAAATTTAAGAACCATTTTATTTTGAAATATATAGAAATTCAGAATTATATACAATTTAAGAAGTGTTACAGATGATATTAACTTAAATTTGTATATGATAATCAATATTTTTATTTATTTTATTTTGTAAATTATTAATTAGGTACCTAACTTTCTTAAAAATTCTAATTTATTCAAATTAAATTTTTGAATTATTTAAATTTTTTTACCAAGAATAATAAATTTAAATTATATAATAGATGTGATAATATAAAAATTGTAGTAATTTTCATTAATTTACTAAGTATTAACATTGTATAATTTGAAGAAAATTAGATAAGTTGACTAAGTACTAAATTCAATATTAAGCATATTTTACTTTAAAAAAAAAAAATATATATATATATATATTAAATACTATTAATTATTATAAGTATAAATATTTTAATAACTCGGAAACTATTTGTTAACATTTTGATTTAAATACAACAATATATTCAATAAATCATCTCCTTTACAATTGACTGTGAAAGATGTTTGAAAAAAAAGATGTTTAAACTACCACAGGACATTATTTAAAGTTAAAAATATAAATAAATCAAAGTATTTAGAATATAACATTTAAATTAACTTAAAAATATCACGAATCATATTTTGAGCAAAGTCATTATTAAATGAAAAATGAAGGGTGAGCGTGATTAGTAAATCAGCCAGTTTACAACATGACGTTAATATTATTGCGTTGGGTCTATAAAAAATCATCATAATTCATAGTTATCTTTATTCAAATAAATTTAATATCACCTATGTAACAGACTATTAGAGGTATACATATAAACATTGATAAATTATAATAAACTGCATGTGTCAGTTGCAATATGCTAAAATACCTACGATACATAAAATGATTGAATAATTAATTAAACTCCAATATTTATAAAAGTCATAAAAATAAGTATATATACCATTTGATATTTTCTTATAAATAAAAAAAATAATGAAATTTTACGACGTATTTTTTGTATGTACAAAATACAAAAAAAAAATTATCTATCAGAAATCAACATTAAATTAGTTTTTTTTTTATCAAAAAAATATTTTCAATCCATGCTTAAAGCATATCAAGAATATGAGATACATTATATATATATATAAAAGAAAGAAAGAAATAAAACGATAGTAAGCGTAGGAAAAATGCCTTTTAGTGACCCAAAAATAAATTAAATTTTAACATACATATTTTGTATTGTTCTTAAAAGTGACAACAAACACGCATACGCACATATACAAATACACAGACACACACTCACATACACAAAAGAAAAACACATATAGTTAATTGTATTGTCAAAATGAAAAAAAAAAAATTTTATTAAATATTCTTATAATCTTCTATACAATATGTTTTAATTATCAGGGTAAATATTTTATATACAAATAAGTACGTTTATTTATACAGATCACGTTTGCGATAAAATTTCAGTATTTTGTATGACGTATTTCTTATATCATCTCAGAGATAAATATGCGTAACGGATTTGTGGTGAACATTTAGATTTATTAGGTAATTAATTTACGTATATTTAAATCAAGAGCCAAGTGTATATTTTTAAAATTTCGTAATAGGTAATTTTTTTTATGAATTACGATTAATACTCGCATCATGTTAACAGTTTGCGATTAGCGTAAATCCAACAATATTGTCTTAATAATTACAAAATAACTAATAATTTACGTGTACTGTACGTCCTATATGTCAATATTAATTTGTCAAATTTAAATACGAATCAATCAATCATAAATGACGCGAATCACGAGCGTGCTGATTTCAAACGTGGAGACACGAGCCCCATCTGAATAATTGCACCCCTATTCGATTTGCAACGTAAAATAAAAGGTATAGTAATTATTATACTGCGCTAGCCTTTCTGAGGTTTTTCATTGAAAAAAAAAAAAAAAAATAAAACGTATGCATTATTGCATTATCACTATTTCTAGTCGCATATCCGTGTAACGAGTCGTATTCACAGTGGATAATTATAATATATATATATATATATATATGTGCGTGTGTGTGCTGTATGCGTGTATATATTATGACGTCTGGGAATGCGTGGACGATGAGCGGGATAATCGCACGACGATTCGCTATGTGTGCGGAATTATAGATATCGCAGTGGTAACGGTTAAGTAGGAACGGGGCAGTGGTCGGCGTTCGACGAAAACGATAATATTCGACGACGACGACGACGACGATGACTACGACAAAACAACGCGTGTCTGACGATTTAAATAATTAAATCTCTGGCCATCACCACCAACGCAGTATTATTAATAATATACCGCCTCCGTGTGATGGGGGGTCGGAGGTCGAGCCATAGCAGCTGCAGTTGTCTCGGTGTTTTAATGGTATTATTATTATTATTATTATTATTATTATTATTACGGTGGCGTGACGCCACGATGGTCATTTTCAGGACTCGCCCGCGGGGAGGCGCGCGCGAGATTTAACGTTGGCGGCGGGCGAGACTACGCGACTGTCACCGTTACCACACCGTTGCCGCCGCTTGTCCGTTCGTATCAGTCTTCGTTCATACGCCACCGTAAAACGACCAGTTTTTCCCGACCGGGGGGAGGGGTAACTCGCGCGTGTTCGTTGGCGGGCTCGTTATCCCCCGATCGCGGTGCATCTCTAATCGTGCGGAAACGTCTGTCGGTGGAAAATTTACGTTTAAAAGTTCAATAATTGCGGACCGTTCGAGTGTTTTGATCGCGTGTAAAATTGTTGGTGATTTCGAGCGGAGGAGTGTGCGTGTTTCTGCGATAGGCAAATATTAATAATAATAATAAAAAAAAAAAAAAAACAGAAAAAAAACCACCCTCGTCTCGTGATCGCAATATCATCAATTTACAATTGCAAAACATAAACTCGTTATCATTACACACACACAGTAATACAGTACACGTATACGGGTGGTGCTTTTCAGTATGTATCTATCGTTCTTGGACGAACAGTTTGCGGAGACTAGCCCCGTCTAGTAAGGATCGGCAGTCTTGAGCCTATTTGAGCGGTCAACCACGCCTCGGGTGAGTGGAACTCGATATTATACTATTATATTATGTAATTGTCACCACAACGCCGCCGCTAGACCTGTTACGGACACATGAAGATGCGTGTTTCTCCCCATTTTTTTTTTTTTTTTTTTTTTTAATTATTTATTATTGTCATTATTTGCTTAAATTTAATAACTGGTTCATTCATCACTCGAGCCTCCTCCAATGACTCGAAACGAAAACGTTTAATATAGGCACGTTGTGTATTAGAACGTTTTGAACGAACCGACCATATTTTGGTTGCTCGAGAAATCAGGATTTTTAAGACTGACCTACTTTGTAAATGTCTTTAAGAATATTTTGTGATAAATATATGCTATATTTATTTTATGGTAATTTTCTGTTTAATATTTTTCTAAGTTTTAATTTAAATATTTTAATCCCAGTATATTGTAAACAAAGGCCACGCTCGTAAACTTGTTGAAAATAAAATAAAATATGGTTATTTTTCTCAAAACGTTTTTAGTTGATTAATTAAAATTATAGGTAATTTCATTTTTAACATAATTATAGTATATGAAATATAAATACTATAAATGTTACAAAATGAGTAAAAGTTTATACTATGCATAGTTTAAATGTTTTCATGGTATTTAAACTTTTAATCTACATTAAAAATCATTTAATTCCTACAACGCGTTATAGTTTTGATAATTGTCAATTTCACGGTTGAAGAACAATCCAGTTACTATTTGTTTAGTTATAAAAATTATCATTTACATTAATGGATGTCACTGACGTATTAAAGAGGATAATTGTTAAAATATATTAAGTACTTGAGATCATACAGAAGAAAATAGTTAAACAATGAAATTGAAGTTTCTTTTTTTCATCGAAGTATATCTCTTATAATTATAACTTCTATTTCCATTCATTTTAATATAGTTCATTGAATAAGATTATTCATTATTCGTTATAAAAACTTTTAATTCAAGAAGTTATAATGTTTTAAATAATAAAAGTTTTACATATCGTTTTTAGTTATCTATAAAAAATGTATATTTTTTCTTTAGTTCATTTTCTAAATAAAATTACAATTTTTAAACTTTATATTAGTTTATCTATAAATTTATTGATATGGTGTTTAAATGAAAATTGAATGTATTGATCTATTAATAAAATAAAATATTGTTATTAACTAGGTTATTTTTTTAATAGAAATGGTTTTTAACTATTTTCTGTGCAGCATATTTTTTAGTCAGTAAAAAGTCAAAATAAAATACAATAAAAAATTAGGCATTTTATAAGATCCATATTCTAACAAGTTATTTGTAAAAATCCAATGTATATTTGTTATTAGTAACATTTCTTATCTTGTAACTATATTTATAACTAAAACTAAAATGTTATTAAAACATAAATCACATTTAATTTTGAAACGAGGAGAAAAAAAATTTAAATTTCGTGAAATTTAAATATATATATTCGAGTATGGTCTACATAACAAGAAATACATTAAGCCGCAATTCTAAATTAAAATTAAGTCTTGGAGACGATTATTCAAATGTAACGTTATGAATACCTGTATACAACGTATTCTATACGATTAATATCATATATGATTCTCATTTCGTATGTATGTGTTGTTTAATAATGTACATTAATATAATACATGAATAGTATTGTATTTATAATTCATTACAAAACCTTTAGATTATTTTAATCTGTATTTACAGTTTACTAATACAGAGTATGTAAATTTCCTCTTAAACATTTAATACCCGCTGTTGATATATTAAAATAAACATAGTTGAAATATCCACGAAGTGTATTTTTTTTTCTAAATAATTTAAATATGAAAAACATAATTATTGAATGTGAATGTATGTTCTACATGATTGGTTAAAATATTTCAAGTTTATGAATATTTACTCAGAAATATCCACAATATAATAATAATATAATTATTAATAAAATATTAAAACATTAACGCGGCGTATTGGATATGCAATATTGATGCATTCGTGCGTACGGGACCATGACACTATTAAAGTATAATCATACAATTTAAATAATAACATGAAATTTTACTAAAATAACATTATTGTGAAACGACATTTCTACTAACGACCAAAATAAGGTATATCAAAACATATATATTACGAAACAGATGATTTCTTTAAATTCCTACACTTATTATTTCAAAAAGCTGTAACATGTTTGAAAATATTTATTTTCATAATTTCAAATCATTTTAAAACAACATTTATAAGAAAAAAGTTATGATTTTTCTGTAATTTTATTGTTATAATCCATTAAGTTTTTTCCTTTTTAAATTATATCATATATATTTAATTTCATATTCCAAATTAAAATGCTAATTAGAGTATTTAAATCTATAAACAATTCGGACAAGTTTATTAACTTTATGCATTTAAAGTTTAAAACAATTAAGTAGACAAGAGTGAACCTATATGTTATGGAATTATACTTAACAAATTATTTTAAAATAAATTCCTATATATTGAAATACTCTAAAAATGTTATATTTTGGAACATTATATAGAAAATCTAATTTATGATTCGTTCAAAAAGTAACTACTTAAGATATAAATAGTTACTTTTTAAGATATAAATGATAACAATTTTAACAATATATTATTTTCAAAAATGACGATAGATTATGTAAAAAATTAAGTTTTTTAAATAATTGATGTACAAATTAAAAATTATTACTTTATATTATATAACATTTAATAGTAGTCATTATAATATTCAATTAATAATAATAATAAATACTAAATTGCACATACAATATCTATTATAAATAAAAATTATACATAATATTAATTTTCAAATTATTGCATTAATTAACTTTATTTAATTTTTTTAATTTATGACGCTGTAACATTTTTCTTTGATATACTTTTTTAATAATTCATAATTATTTGAAGTTTTATTTATATTTGTGTCATATTTGTTTTTTTATAAATAACAAGACTATAAATATTGTGGATACTTAAAAGGATATATAAAAAAAAAATTTATATTATTTTTTTTTTTTTTTTTAATTGTTTAATACTCAATTAAATTATAATATGTATTTTTGCATTGTGTTTATATAACATCTTATGAAATTTATAGGTTTAAAAATAGGCTAAAACTCTTATGGTTCGTAGAATGGTGTATCCTAACCAAAACTTTAAGTATAACTATCCACAGGATAAATATATCATTATAATATTTTCATATAGGAAAACCATACTTTTTTCACATAGCTTGAGATGTGTAAAATGTTTTCGTAAAAAAACTATACTGTCACATATACAGGAAGTTGACAAAAGTTTAGTTAGTGTGCAAAAGTTTCATAAAACAAAGTTATTATTTATAATATATTATAATTTAAAAAAAAAAAAGCAATCATTAACTTGAAAAGTATTTGAAGTTTGTAAGAAATATTATATTTTTTTGTATAACTTAAATTTTAAGTCAATAAATAATAACATTATATTTTTGACTGTTATTTTTTAAATATTTTATTCTTTTTAATTTAAACTTAGATTTTTAATTCAATTATTCATAGTGGGTTAAAATAATGTAAACAAGTATTTTTAAAACTTTATACTTTTCACGATGGTGTTGGTTACTAGGTAGTAATTATTAAAATCAGTGTACGCACATAAAATACATTTATTTTTGACATATTTTTTAAAATATATGATAGGTTTACGAGCGTGTAAAATATTGATTTACGGTTTCGTCGTTATTCATTAGAAAACTTTTGATAAAATTAACATTTTGTACGATACGTTGTCACATTTTCAGCTTTTATAAGTATCTGTTTCGAAACATAAATAACATTGAAACATATAACTTAAGAATATGTATACAGTAATTTTAAAGCTATTAATTTTGACTTTAAAACAATACTGTATTAGTGTATCCCATATAACAAACACGATTTAATGCAAAACTTAGATATATTATATGTCATGCATTTTGATGGCTGGTTAAGTGGGTCGCATAAAATAATGCATTTTTGAGTTAAAATATGTAAACCATTCGATCTCGTTAAGCTCATTTGATAAAAGCTTAGGTAATGTTATTTTTACTTCGACAATAAGAAGTATAATTTAATAATTAAACGCGTTATACAACTACACGATTTAAATACGTTTTGTTCAAAAAATTATACTATGCTCGGGTAATTATTCGTATATTGTTTTATGAAAACAGCGCTGAACGCTTTGAAGACGTTTTTTGTATAAGTTTCCGAGTTAAAGACAATATGGTTCATACAATATTCTCTCTACTACATTCTCAATTATAATATAGATCTTTCAATACAAGGATTTTCATAAAATCTATATAACCTTTTAAACAAGTATTCCCATTTTTACAAATTTACAACGAACGTTTTTCTCGTGACTACGGATCAATAGTGTACATAAATAAATTCGATTCTGAAGGGTTATAAATCTGCACCATACGGTCTACAACGGTGGAGGTAAAAATGAGTGTGCGACGGACATACTTATTTCCGTATAGCACTTAAAAATTTAAAATCTCCAATGCGTGATATTTCCGGTTACCAGCATTCTATCACACGCCCTTTAATCATATCACTGGTGCGGATTCGTTGTGGGTAGAATTTCACGGATTTATTGAAATAATATATTGATTTAAGTGAAAACAAATACAATCGTTATTTCTCATTCTCGCATACGTTTGAGATTTGTGCTTACAAAGTACAACGTAAATAAAAAATAAGTACTACAATACTGCATACATCTATAAGGTCTGTACATATATAAATATGTATGGATGTCAACACTAAGTTAGGAAAATACCTACCCATCCATATGCAAACTTATTCAAATGTTCATTCTTAATACTTTTTTTTCTTATTATTTTATGTGAGTGTGTTTAGTTCACGAAGAGTGATATAATTTTGTTTCACGTTTTCATCTGAGTCATGACCAGAATATTATAAACAATAAATAAAATAGCAGAGGATATATCACAGTGAATAC